ATATATAATATATATGTATATATATATAATATATATGTATATATATATAATATATATGTATATATATATATGTATATATATATATATATATATATATATATATATATATATATATATATATATATATATAATATATATGTATGTATATATATATATATATATATATATATATATATATATATATATATATATATATATATATATATATATATATATATATATATATATATATATATATATATATATATATATATATATATATATATAATATATATATATAATATATATGTATGAGAACTTACATAAACATTACACTTGTTTAATCATAAAAAAAATTGAATTGTATCAGTTAACTTATTTAGTTTAGGTATAACAGTTAAGCTCTTATTATTGAAATTTTTTAAATTAATTTTGTCTGCTATATCAAATACGCTTAAGAAAGTTGTATAAAATCTGTTTTTGTTTACAAGACCCTTAATCAAAGTTACATCATATAAAAAGGTTTGTTGCAATTAGTCTATAAATTGCAAGTTTTATATAGTTTCAAATTTTTGTAAATGTAAATGATTGATTATCACTCAGTAATTTTAAATAACGTTTCATTTTATTTGTTTTCTAAAACTACTTAAGTTATTTTAATTTTTAAATAAAGCATTCAATATCTTATTATAAAAAGCTAATTCCACATAGGGTAAATTGTCCGGGATATTTTGCTCAAAATTTCCGTACATTTTCAAAATATTGCAATAAACTTGGAATTTTTTTCTTTGTTTCAAAAATTATTTTATTTTTTATTTGTATTTTATCATCGTATTATTTGGGTAATCTTTAAATATTTCAACAAAAAAATATAAAATAATGAAGACCCACAACCAAAAAAAAAATATAAAATAATGAAGACCCACAACCAAAAAAAAAATATAAAATAATGAAGACCCACAAGCGAAAAAGATTTAAAATAATAAAGACCCACAAGCGAAATATGCTTATCTTTTAGTCACATTTTTACATTTAATTAAAGAATTGTGCTCTTTTAAAAAAAAATGCAATAAAGCGTATAAGCTGGTACTGTGGTTTATCCTCATACGGACCAACATAAAACATCCTCTTTCGATTTCTTCACAACAGCTTACCTTCCGCTGCCTTGCTTGCCAAAAGCACAAGGCAACAGATTGTTAAAAACAACAAATCTAAAACTTGCAGAAAAATTGAGGACAATCTGCACATCTTTGCCTACTGTCCTCCTCCAGTTACAATATGGCAATACTTTAAACATGTATATAACTCCTTGAATACTTTAAACATGTATATAACTCCTTGACAACTTTTCTCCAATAAATTCGATATTTTCGATTGAAACTGCTAATTTATCGGAGAAAAACCCTACCTCGCAGCTGCTTTTGACAATCACTCAATTCATTATGAGTAAAATAAGGAACAGCAGATGCTACCATTTGTTTAACAATTCAAAAATTGACCCAATGGCAGTGATCAGGATAATTATCAGAAATATCAAAAATATTATTACTTATAAATATAATTACCAGGTCCGTAGAAACACTACGGACATTTTCTGTCAAACTTTTTGTATCAATAACGTTTTTTGTCAAATAGAAAATGGGAACCTGAAACTAAACATATGAGCTGAACAAAAGTTATTTTAAAATACCTTTTTATTAACAAAAGTCGGAAAGTTATTTTAATGGAAAAATATTATAAAATATGTTAAAAAAAAAAAAATGGTAAAACTTATGTGAAAAACCCTTTTTATTAATATGAACGATTATTATAAAAAAAATATATATATATAAAAACAGAAATATTTCTTTAATTGTAAAGAGGATATATTTTTTATTATGCAGAAATAGTTTATAAAAATTGTAAATATTTATTATTTTGAAATAAACTTTATATAAAAAAAAAAGGCTTATCCTCCTCCGGCTAATCGCCATATAGAGGCCACATACCAAGGCCTACAAAGACAAGTCCATCTCACTAAAGAGCATCATAACCCGCTTCACAAGCCAATACTTAGTAATTTTAAGAAGAATGAAGAATCATAGAGCAATAGTCAGAAGAAGTCGAGTTAGAAAGATGGCGGATGTTTTACAAGTTAGCTTGTCTTTTTAGCTTGTGTATAACAAATTTCTAGTTTTTACTTCTCTCAACTAAAATGTAAAATACAATGAATAATATCTTTTATAGATTAACAAGTTTTTTAGGTTAACAAGTTTTTTAGATTAACAAGTTTTATTGTGTATTATTCTAGTAGAAACAAAGATTTTTTTATTTGTAAAGATTGCATACTTGGACGATTTTAGGGAAAGGGTGTGGGGGGAGGGGTGTTCCTTCCCACAAAAAAGGTAATTTTCAAGTTATAGTCGGTTTTTTGACAAATGTAGTCGGCTACACGGGTATTTGACAAAATTCAGTTTAGTGAATTTTAGTTTTTAAGGACCTTTTTTTTTATTTTTTTTTAAGAAACCAGTCAGTACTTTTTACGAATTTAATCCCGCCCTCTCATTTTTTAATTATTGATTTATTAAGTCAAAAGTGCTCAAGCAAAGTTGTGGCGACAAGACTTTAGTCTTAAGGCACTTATTAAAACATAGCGGTGGAATTTATGGCCTCGAAATCATTAGATCTTTATTTTTATTGCTAACTATACTTTGAAATTGTTCTAATTTAGCAAAAAGATTTTCTTCGCTTTTCATTAACCAATAAGTTTTTAAATCAAAAATTGTAAAATACTGTAAATATTCAATGAAATCTTTTTATATATAATATTACAGTTTTTAGTAACTTGTAGCCCAATTTAATAAATTATAAAAAATGCTCCTTCGCCATTAGGGATGGGGGTACAAAGCCTTAAACAAAGCTTGCCACGCCAATGAACATCAAAATGCTTAGTAAATAACAGGATAAAACAGTTTTAGAAAACTTTGATAACAAATTATCATAGTTGTTCCTTAAAGTTATAATAAAAAAACTCAAAAAATACCAAAAAAATGTTTTTCAATGAGGGCTTTCTAAAAATTTTACAATCTATTTCACAATATTTTACCATTTAATTTTTCATAATAACTGCCTAAATAAGACATAAAATTTTACCCATTAATTATAAAATAACTTTCTATTCAAAATTTCCAGAATTTTCAAAATTTCCGTAAAACTTTCGGAAATTTTTCGGAAATTTTCCCTAGTGGAAAATTTCCGGGAAACTTTCAACCCTACCTAACAACGCAAAGCGTTCAAAGAACGTCCGAGCACGTTCTATGAACGTTCATTGAACATTCTTTAACGTTTGCAAAGTGTATATAGAATGTTTATATTGTTTTAGAATTTGTTAATTTAGACATGCATCACTTAAAAAGTTTAAATTTTTTGTAAAATTAAAATTTTATATTTATATTATTTTTCATTTGTTTTAATAATATTTATATTTTATATTTAATAACATTTGGGTTTATTATTTTATCTTCAGCCATAATAAAATAATTTATTAGATTAATTTTTAAAATAGTTCAAAATTCGTTATGTACTAATTTTGTTACTATTAGGTGTCGATGCCTCTGGAACATATATAATTTTTCTAACATCAGCTACCCTTCGGGCATTTGTTTTTGAAAGTTACGTTCTAAATGTCTATTAAACGTTTTTGAAACGTTCTTTACCTAAGAATGTTTAGAAGACGTTTTAAAGACATTTAAAATACATTTAGAATGTAATTTTTAAAAACAGATGCCCGCTGGGTAAGCTAATTTTTTTGTATAATTCTTTGTTTATAAACTCCTAATAGAAATTTTATTTCAAAAAATTAGTAAAAAAAGTGTCATCAGTAAAATAAGTTTTTTGTTTCAGTTTTACATAACATCAATTTACCTTAAATGAATTGATAACAGGATACTGCAGGTAAAGTGCAAACATATGTACAAATAACAACAGTACTACATACCTGTTAGTTCCTGCCTAGCTTGTTAGTATTAATATATTTTAAACCTTTATTATAAATGTATGCGTGTTTGTGTATTTTGTAAACAAATGTGATTTTTTGAATATAGTGACTGTTAAAAGTATATTTAAAAAAATATTTCTATTGTAATCATTATTTTGTATATTGAATTATTATGTTATAAATATTTGATTAGTTTACAACCCAGTAGGCATGCGTCGTTCGGAGGACGTTTGTTAGACGTTTTACGGACGTCTGGACGTCCGTGAGACGTTCGACGGACGTACCCTGGACAACGCGTGCCCACTGGGAATGTCTAGTCGAGCCGTTTTTGAAGCTTGTTAAAAAATGAGCAACATCTGTCTATTAACCAAAACAACTTTATTTTCTTTAACCAATCAATGAAATGTATTAATGCCTAATTTCACCTGAATTTTAATGAAATGCGTTTGTAATGTATTAAATAGCAGTGGTTAGAGTGGTTCAGAACCCAGAGGTTAAACCCGCAGTGGTTAGAGTTCTGGTTCAGAACCCAGAGGTCCGAAGTTCGACGCCAGCTCTAGTCTAACAAGCGACATTGGTACGTAAGGAGGCGTAAACTTCCAGTTAAATGCTTTCCCGTGGTGCTCTATGATAAGACCGTAAGGTCTTCTGGGCGCACCTAAATACATACAAAATAAATTGCAACATCTAACTATTTGACGTACAAGCGTATTATCTTTATTTCAATGGATTGTTCGTTGAACTTAATAAATCCTTAATTATAACGGACTACTGATATCAGCAAACTTTAATCCGTTAAAATTTAAATTAGTTAGTTTTACGAAGGATTCGTTGATGCAAAATAACTGATTGATCTGTTACCTTAGTTTCTCATCATTCAGATATAAGATCGATTCATAGTTTTCAAGATGATTTAATCGCTCAACTTGCCGCAATGTTCAACCCCGCTACCCTACTTGACTTATGAAACTTTAAAAAAAATTGATTAAAAATATAAAATTTAAATATGAAATACAAAAATTTAAATTTAAAACAAAATTTTTACTTTTAGCACCACTTTTGAACTTCATATCTGACAAAATTCCTAAAATATGAAAATTTAATTTTTATTTTTTTCAACCTTTTTGTAATCAACTTTATTTATCATAAAAAGTTGCACTTTGTTTGTGTTTTAACCACAAATGAATATTAATATTTTGTCTAATAATATTTTTATTACCGTATTTCATATTAATGGAGTTTATGTCTTCTCTTTCCTGATTCTTTACAATCGCATTCTCATCTAAAAAGAAAGTTATTTGACAGTTTTCATAAAAAAAGTCTAAATTTAAAACAAGTTTAAAAGTATGTAACCATTTTAATAATCTACAGATTAGATAATCTACATCTACTTCCACCAAAATAACAAGAATTTCTGTAAATAAATATTTATAACATTTCGAAGTTGTTATAATATATTGTAAATTTTTTAGAATCAAAATAGCTGCACTACATTGATGTTTAAGTAGTAACAACATTTTATTAATTTAAGTTATAAAATTGTATAAAACATCAAACAATATGTCTATTTTCACGTTTGCTGACAACACCAAATTTTTTCTTCTTAAGCATTCTACTTCGTGTGGCAAAGGCGGAACTTGAGTATATATTAAATAGGCTTTGAGTCAGCAGTCTCTAAACACTAATAAATGTTTGAAAATTCAGTATTTTCCCGCATTATTACCAATGTTATTTATAAACAATATCAAAATTGATTTATAAAAGTGCTTCACACAAAAAACTTGGTGTTTATTAAATGAAAACCTTTCTTCGAGAGATTTTACTGTATATAATAGTAATGCAATTTTGAAAAATGTTGGTACATAAAACCCGTCAATGATAGATATACAAAACCTTCAAATCTACACTCAGCTAAATTTCTAAAGGAGGAGCAAAATAGCATTTTTTTCAATGTTCCTCATAAATTTGTTCTTAAAATTTTGATTCCCCCCGCAAAATTTTTTATTATTTCTTTACGCAAATAAGATTTTTTTATTAATCTAATAAGAACTTGAGTTTGCGATCCAAACATGGTGTCCCTATTTGAAAATAGATATCATAAAGTTCAAAATAATACAAAGAAGAACAACAAAGTTTCTCAAATAGAGTCCTATAAAATTGAAATGGTTTACTACCTCATATTATTGGATCATTAACAATTAATTTATTCGATCAATAACAATTAATTTATTCGATCAGAAACAACTAATTTATTTAAAAATGAATTTGGTTGTTCAGACTATTTTAAAAATTATCTATCGCATAACATTATATAAAAAAAATTGTATACTTTTCATTGCTGTTATTGCACAATCGATTTTTTGATCAATTGTTACAGCTTGCCCTATTAGTATATTGTCTTATTAGTATAACTAAATTTTTAAGATATAATATTTTTTAATTTCAGACCAAACATTAAATTATGATGTTATGGTGTGTGGTGTCATATTGCAGAACATTATGCATCCAACTTATACCATATTTTTTGTTACAACATTTTGTACCATATCTTGCACGTTAATTTCCGTCTGCACTGTTGTTATTTTACTTGTGCAAGCAGTAAAGAATTTTAATAAATAAGGAACTAAAATGAACACTAGACATGAAGTTTTTAAAAAGAATAATTATATTATACTAAAAACATTTTAGTATATCAAATGGTTGGTACTTACGGATTTTGTTAGGAACCCAACAGGTTTTTGTTTTTAAAAGTTTTGTTCTCAACGGCTTTTAAACGTCTTAAACATTCTAACGTAAATAACGTTTAGAAGATGTTTTAAAAACTTTTAAAATACATTTACACCGTAACTTTAAAAAACAAATTTCTGTAGCGAACAACAATAAAAACATGACTAAACTTAGCAAACAAAATTATAATCTATAACATAATAGCAAAAAATATCTTTGATAAAAATCAAGTTAAAACTATTTTGAAACGAAAAAAAATTAAATTTTTCTGAGTTTTAATATTTATTTTTTAATATTTAAATGTTTTAATATTTAAAAGCTTTGAAATCTACACCAAATATTTTCTAAAAATATTTTTATTTTGTCAAATACCGTTAAAAACATTTTACTAAGGGTAAAAAATTGGTGTCTAGGCAGTTGTTAGAAAACCTATGTTGACGCTTAATAATGCAAAACCTTCAGAAATGAACTCTTAACATCGTTATATATTATAGTATGTCGGTAATAAAGTCTGATATAGTGAGATCCATATAGGTAATAGTTGTAATAACTCATTTTTAAGTTGCTCTAATGTATACTTGCTTTTGTAGACAATATTTGGAAACTTTTTCTAGATAGCGTCCGTGGTATTTAATTAAATAGAAAGTTTATTTTAAATTATATTTTGGAATAACAAAGTTGTTATCTAAAAATTTTGTGGAGTACTTATGGTTAATTTTATTAAAATCAGATGAAAAGATTTTTGAAGACAATACAATTTTTTGATTTAAATATAAACAATAAACTTAGTGCAAATTGAGTTTTTACGCATAAAAAAGTAAAGTAGACCATTTCTCTCAACTTTATCATAGTTTTACAGTAATGATCCTCAATTTTCTTCACTATTGTTATATATATCTTAACTAATCATCTTGTTCTATGCATTGACTCCTCTAATAGTCATTAAGAATTTTTTTGAATCAGATAGAGGTTCAAACATCGTTGTTACTCAAATATTTGATATTTGTGCTTAATTTTACTAAACAATGATTGACAATGGAATTTTTTTTATTAATATTATACATAAAAATCTTAAATTAATAAATGTTTATTTGGTAAACCTTAAGTTTATCGTCACTTTTCACAATCGCCTAAACTATTTACAAGGGGTTTTGAGTTGAAATGTATAATTTAGACAATCTTTTTTTACAATCTTCATTTCTACAACTTAAATTAATCAGAAAATAGTTTTTTTTATTTGTTTGATGGTGATATCCAGTGATCAAATATAATTACATGGACCGGATATCTTGCATTTCGGATCGAAAAATTAGAAGGGTAACTTTTAGAATTTCTTAAGCGTTTTTTTAAAGTTGTTTATTTAAATATTCATAATATAGTTAATACATTTTCTTTAGTTTACTGCAAAACTGGATATCAAAAGAGAGAATCAGATTGATTTTATTCCTGAACAGCATCCATTTTTTATATTTCCGGAATATAATCCTGACTTATTTAAACAGTGGGTAGCATTGTTTAATTAAAAATTAATGAAGCCCAGTAAAAAATCGGCTATTTGAGCTAAACATTTTGAAGAAAAATATCTAAAAATTAGCGAATAAGTAACATTAGTTTGGGATTTATATCCAGTCCAACTATTTATTGCTTCATTGAAAAAATATCACTATGAGTATATCCAACTACATTGAAAGTTAGAAAGCCACCGTTTGCTCGTCATCCAATAAAATTCAGGATAAATCCAGTATATTTACAGAAAAAGATAAAATTCACTGTTTAAATGATTTAAATTAAAGGGTATCTGCTTAAATATATTATGGCAAATAGGGAAGACGGGGGAGACTTTGAAACTCCTACCCTGTTAACGTTTGGACAATGTTGTCTATAGTTGATATGTTGGTAGGCATACGTCCTTAGCTTTAAAATAGTTTGGCGATAGTTTCCCGCTAAAAAACAGATTTTAGAGTAAAAAAAAAAATTTTTGGTTTTTCGATTTAAAATTTCAAGTGAATTATCCAGATCCTAGTTTTGAACTCTGCCAGAGATGGTGCAATTTTTTTAAAAACAAACGGTTACCTGTGAACGTTGGCAATGTAAGTATTTGTAATCTATATATAAGTTTGTAACGATTCCCTTGATTTTTTTAATATACCTTTAATGGGGAGACTTTGGACATTTTGGACATTTTGTCTAATGTCTTTTTCGATGCTTTAATAAAATAAAAATAATAATTTCATATAGACAATTATTATAGTTTTGTAAATTTCTATTTGCACAATCGTAAGGGTAGATCGATAAAAGCCACAGATACCCCTGAAAAAGAACTTGCAGCTGCAAAAAAACTAGTAATGGCAAAGAAGCTAAAGATTTATAATTGTAATGGTATATGGATGTGGAAAACAATCAAATCGTAACTATACGTATAGTTACGTAACTATACGTAAAGTTACGTAACTATACGTATAGTTACGTAACTATACGTGCCTATTTATTTGTTTGATTTTCATAATCTTCCCTATACATGTCCGACATACAAGTCAGAAGTCACCCCGCATGCAGGGTGACTTCGGACACTTAGCTAGCATTTTTTAAATAGATTTTAAACATTGAAAATCAGGATATATAAAGAAAGTTTAAATTTTAAAAGATACCTTAATTATTGTAGTTTGACAAAAAAATATGTTACTTTGAAAAAATGCAATAGTTATTAAATAAGCCAAGTTAGAGTAAAAAATCTCCGAAGTCTCCCCGTCTCCTCTACATATTATTTAAGTTAGAAATTATTCAATATTTAGTTATATTAGAAGTTACAAAAACAATTGTAGTTGAAGAATTTATGCATGTTTTATTGCTTTGAAGTTATCAAATGCTCCATTGCCTCCATGGTTTCGAAATATTGACTGTGTATTGGAAAAAAAAGTGTATTGGAAAATTTTCTAGTCTATTTAAAAAATCGTGTAGAAGAAAATAGTTTTTCAAATGGTTTAATAACTGAACTCAATGAAATAAAATACAAAAACCAGTCATTTGGCTAAATTTTTCATTAAATCTTTTACAATATTCCTTTATCCTTCAATATACATTAGCGCAGGCTTTTATTAGAACAGTTTCCTATACCATCTTATTCTTTTGATAAAAAATTAATAAAGGTGGGGTAGAACCATTGAAATCTATAAAATGTTAATTAAACAAGATAAAATTGAAAAAGATGTTTTGCAACTGATGGATGAAATATATTTGCAGAAAGAAGCGCAATATCAAAGTGGTAGAATAATAGGTTTCTTTGAAAATATAGTTTAACTTTGTTATAAACGCTATACCAAAAGTAAAAATTACGGGTAAATGGCTAGCTGACCATGTTGACTCATCAACATGGTCAGCTAACATTACATCTCTACAAGAAAATGGTTTTTATGGTTATGGTGTAATTTCGGATAATCTATTAATGTTTTTTACTTTTTGATGATTTTGACATTTGATGCAAGAATATAAAAGTACTAATCATGCTAGTTCCTACAAAAAAGAATTTATTTTTTGACGCTGTCCATCTTCTCAAAAACATAAGAAGTAATTTACTAAATTCAAAACATTTTATATTCCATGCTTTTTGTTTTGATCAGTTTCTTAATGTTATTGATGTATATGATGTATATGATGTTTATTGATGTATATATACAGTATCGGACAAAACAAGTGCAACCAAATAATGCTAATTTAGTTTCTTTATATAAAATTGCTGTATTTTTTCAATTTAGAGAAATAACTATGTAACTGTTTTGAGACAACATTCTTCAAGTTTTATTCATCACAAAGTTTATTATTTGTAGACGAAAATTAATAAATTAATCAAAAGTATTAAAAAAATTTGATTTCCTTCTGGACAAAACAAGTGCAACTTCACAAAATGTTGACCAAGCTGTATATCGCTATCAATATTTTGTGACGAATCCTTTGATGTTGATCACAGCCTTGCCTCTTAGAGGCATAGATTCGATCTGGTGATCAATGAAACTTTGTGAAATCGCTGCCCAGCCTTTTTGGATTTGTTTAAACAGTTGATCCTTATTACGAACACCTTCACCATTAATTCTGCGGTTGACAATCTCCCACAGGTTAACAATAGGGTTGAGATCCGGAGATTGAGGCGGCTAATCCATCACCTATAGGTGGTTGTCTTGAAACCACTGCTTGACTACTTTTGCAGTGTGTTTCGGATCGTAGTCTTGCTGAAAAACCCATTTTATTGGCATATTCCATTTAGCATGAGGTAACATAACATCTTTAAGGATATTTTTATACATGAAACGGTCCATTATTCCATTGATTCGATGAATTGGACCTAGACCGTTAGCAGAAAAACTCTCCTCACACAGTTACATTGCCTCCACCATGCTTCACGGTCTTATGGGCAGTAACGTAAATCGAGGCGTTTTCCGGCCGGTCGTCGTACACGGCAAGTGCCATCGCTCCCAATGATGTTGAACTTCGATTCATCACTGACAGGACAGTTCGCCGTTTCTGCACATTCCAGTCAATATGAGTAGTAGCAAACAGGAGACTTTTCTTCTGGTTCTTTAGTGAAATCAGCGGTTTCTTTGCAAGGCGTCGAGAAAACAATCCGGCTTCAACAGCACGTCGTCTGATTGTTCTGTCCGACACAGGCAGTTCTAATTGCTTTTGTATTTCGACTGATAATATCCAGGGATCTTTTTTGACGGATCTGACGATAATAGAATCCTCTCTAGAAGTGGTAGAACGCGGTCTTTCACCTTTGTTATCTGCTGCCAACTTCCCCGTAGAACGATATTTGGAACATAGTCTTGATACGGTCCATTTTTTCACGTGATATTTATCACAAATACTTTTTTGTGACATTCCACTTATGTAATCGTCAATAATTTTCTTTCTTAGCTCCAATCCAAGACTGTTGGGAGCCATTTTTGCACTTAAAGTCATAAAATCAATAAAAATAATCACGCTTCTTAAGCCTTATCATGTTACATTTACCTTGTGATGATACAATAATGCTCTGTGGAACACAACGTCTTGGTTGGATGTGGACTGTCTTGATGCAATGAAACACCTGTTGTATTTTACTTTTTGTATTGATGTTCTTCGATAAAACACTTTGATAAAACTCACTTCGATAAACTGTCTTGATAATACTGACTGATTGACTTCCATATACTGACTGAATTACATGTCGGTTTACATGTCTCTTATATTGTAAAATGAACCTATGTGAACCTGTTCTGGAAGATTCTAGATGCTTCTTTTCGATACTTCTAGAAACTTCTGGATGCGTCTGGATGCTTCTGAATGTTACTGGATACTTCTGGATGTTTTTGGATGCTTCCAGATGCTTTTTCTGGAAACTTCTGGAAGCTTCTGCATGCTTCTGGAAACTTCTGGGTACTTTCTTTAATTATTAAAAAACTTCCGTGACGTTGACACGGACCAGACTTAAGACAATTAAACAAACCAAGAAAGTTTTACTTGTTTTGTCCGCTGCGAAATGGCAGTTGTCAACAAAATTTTCCGTGTGTGCTGTCACCTATCAGCTGATTGCTCATGTCATGGCATGCTATGACTCCTGAACTGTTTGCTGTGGTAGTATAGTTCGTTTCATTTTTAAGACATGTAAAATTTGGAACACTTTTTAGCATTATTCGATATTGGTTGCAAATGTTTTGTCCACTACTGTATGTATATGATGTATATTGATGTATATTTATGTATATGATGTATATTGATGTATATATATATATGTACATGATGTATATTGATGTGTATATATTGATGTATAATGTTATTGGTAAATATCATGGAAGTTTCTTCATAATGTATATGATAAAGACCTATTACTTCAGTCAAATTTAAAAAAAAAAAGGTCTTATAAATCTCTATATTCAGGAGATAATAAACAAAGTGTTCCAATTACTCTGGTAAGATAAATTTGTTCTTGCAATATAAAATTGTTCTAACAACTTTTTGCAGCTATTAAAAGTTATTTTCCAGACTGATGCTTTTTAAAGTTGATAAATATACGGTGGAAAATAAGCATCAATAAGAAAAAATATAATAGCAATTTTTGTCTTCAAAATGCAGCTGTTTTGGGTGACATAAAACCTTAATTTTTGAGGAAATTAGCCAAACGAATTGAAGATTAACAATTATCTCAAGTTTTAAACTCTCAATAGTTTACATTAAGTAAACAAATATCAGAAACATTAGGGACTAGTTTAAGATGCACTGGTTCACTTAATGATTATTAAATTCAATATGGGTATCATTGTATTTTAGTATCCCGTTTGCAAACTAATCCATTAGAGCTAAAATTTACGAAGAACTGTCAAATGAGTGGAGGCAGATTTTTAATTGGTTTGCGTGAACTTAAGACTTCTGAGCGCATATTAGCTTTGAAAACATTACTTAAAGAATCAGTCAATATCTGGGAGGAAGATGTTAGAATGTTGTAGTGTATCTTTACTTAAATTATTTGCTGATAAATTGCAAAATATTTTACAGGATATTGAAGAATGCAGTTTAGATTCAGAGAGCTTTGAAGTTGCTACAGTTACTTCTGGTTATGTTGTTAAAATTTAATAAAAAGATTAAATGTGATGTTTGCAAAACTTTTCTATTAGCTAAATCTGGTGAGGTAAAATGCCAATATTTAAAAAAAAATTCTCGTGGTTGTTTGATTTTACCAGCTATTGATCTTATACATTATGTTATATAAAACATGTAAAAATTACTTAGACAATTGTGAAATGATCGTGACGGTATACAGTTTAAACAATTGTTTTGAATGTGAGAAGCGCTTTGCGAGAAAACGTTTAATAATAAACTAGTTCCATTTTTTTGTTTGTTGAAAAGTTTTTTGTTTTAGTTATATTGACGCTTCATCAAAAAATGTTTGTTTAATTTAAGATAGGAATTAATAAATGATTATTTATGTATTTTATATGTATTTGATATGTATTTTATGCATGATTGATCTTTTTCTTCTTTTATTGTTTTCCTCAGAAGGATGAATTACAAATAAGTATTAAAAAATGCAAAATAATAAATACAAAATATAATGATTTTAGCAAAAGAAAAAATGAACTAGTATACAATTCAATTAACTATAGATATTTTATCAAAGTAATTAATTAGTTTGTAAAAAAGTAAGTAAAATGCCACCCTTTAGGTTTGCCGCCCCAGACCATAGTCCGTATTGTCCGGCCGTAGGGCTATGATCCTAGTAACTTACCGTTTATATTTCTTAACTCTATTAGTTGAACTGCTAAATAATAGTTTAACAATTTAAATACTTCTTGCCATATAATATATAATATTTTTAATAAGTTTTTACTACTTTTTAATCTATTTTATTTGAAAATAATTTACTAATAAACTTTTGCAATATGATGTCGGATTTCTGATATACAATAATCCGTAGTCTAATGTCCGATGTCTGATTATAGGTTTTGTCTTTAACTTTTTGTGTTATATTTTGTAATAAGATTTTTTTTTTACAAAACAGCTGTTTTTTTTTTGTATATTGTTACTTTTTTAGTAAAAAATTAGCAATATACAAAAAAAAAAAAAAAATTGCAGGGGCGACTCTAGGTATAAAATGATGGGGGTAAATCTTTTTTAAATGCCACCTGCTCTCTTAAAAAAAAACGTCCTAAACTCAAAAAATTTGTCGACTAAAATATATCGAATGCTCTCTGCCTGTTTATGTAACATTTTATTCATTTCATTTCACAAAATATGAGAAAATGAGCAAAACGTAAATGGTATCATAGTCTAGGTTTTACTTATATTTTGGGTCATCATTAATCTAGATTAAAATTTATTTATACAGATCAAATCAAACATAGTTATCAAGTATAGTGCAAAACTGTTGTAAATTGTTATAGTATTTTTTCGTATAATGTTTTAATATACAAAACATGTATATAATATTTGTAACTATTTTCAAATATGTGTATATATATATATATATATATATATATATATATATATATATATATATATATATATATATATATATATATATATATATATATATATATATATATATGTTTTGTTCTATCTCCACATTTTTTTGTTTCGAGAAAAAACGATTTAAAAAATAAAAACTTTAGGAGACGGCATATAAAAAGATTTTTATTACTTATGTTTTCTCCGAAACTTTTTTGATTTTAACTTAGGTTTTAATATAGTAGAAAAACAATATTTTTAGGTACATGACACAATTAATAACTCATTTTTTTCAAAAAGTGGAGATAGAACAAAATAATTCTAACCTCGCGATATATATATATATATATATATATATATATATATATATATATATATATATATATATATATATATATATATATATATATATATATATATATATATATATATATATATATATATATTTATATATTATTATTATTGTTTTTATTACTACTATAATATGGTGCTATTATTTTTTTTAGTTATATTATCACTATTACCTTTAAGGATTTGATTCATCTTTTGAATACTTAAGCCATACACACATACTAGAACCATTGCTAAAACGTGTAGCTTCATTGTAGTTTTCATTATGTATACTAACTGTATGCTATATATATATATATATATATATATATATATATATATATATATATATATATATATATATATATATATATATATATATATATATATATATATATATATATATATATATATATATATATATATATATACTCAAAAAAGATTTGGAAAGAAAGTTAAGTATTTAATTAAAAAAAAATTATTTGCAAATTTTGTAAGTTATTATGTAAGTTATTAGAGAAATTTTATATATTTACATTATTCTTAATATTTTGATTTTTTTTAAGATCTACCTTTAGAGTACCTAAGTTCAAAAGTTTAGTTAATAAATATAACTTATGGCATTTTATGAATTAAAGTTTGCTGAGCCACTTTTTAAAATAATCAGATAAATCATACACTTTTTATTACTTTGGAAAGAGATCATTTTAGATACAATAGATTAGTAGGTTTCGATAAGATATTTTTAAACTATTTTTAATGTCTTTGATAAAAGCGGGACTTATGACAATAATCAAAATATAATTTGTGCTTGTGAATAGATGTTTTTGACAACCGCGAGTTTAAATGAAACACTTTAAAAAAAAAAAAATTTTAACGAAAACAATGTAACTATGATAGATAATTAACTGCCTAATATAAAAGTGCAGCCCTACATTGCTTTTGAATGCATTTGAAGATGAAAACTATATAATTGTAGTTTAACTTAAGTTTCAGAAAGCACTTTGTTTTAATCAAGGCAACCTAAAAACTTGGTTTTAGGTTGCCTTCTTTTTTTTTTTTTTTTTTTTTTTTTTTGAATTACTTACTCATTTAAACGAATATTGTTAAAAAATAGTTATAGTTAACAGCGACAACAAAGTACTTGAGGTTAGAGCTCAATCTTGTAAACACGAGACGTATTTTAAATGCATAAAAAATGTATTTAAAACTAATATATTTTTTAAGTACTAATATGTTTTTTAAGGAGGTGCTAAAGCAATACAATTGTGAAAAGCGATGTATATTCAACATTTATAAGCTTATAAGTTGCAATGAACATAACTTTACTGTGATAATAATTTTTCAATGATTTTTTAAAACTTTAACTTAAGAAATTTTACGTGTCAAAACTGTTTAGAATTTTTACTCATTAAATTTTTTTCAAGAGTTACTAGTCTTAATTTTCAGAGATTATTTCAGAGATTATGCTTTGGTACATAGAAATCCTTACTTTCATTTTCGGTGCTTAGGAATCCTTACTTTCATTTTCAGTACTTAGCAATTCTGGCATTCAAAAAAATTTTTTTTTTGCTGATTCAAAACTTTTGCAAAAATTAAACAATTCTTAATTTCGAATAAGCATTTTTATAACATTTTTTTAATTCTTTAATTTTTTTTAATTTTTAATTCAAACGACTATAAAAAAACTTTTTATTTTGTAATAATTTTGACACTAAAAAGTTTTTCGTCCCAATTTAGAAAACTGTGAACAGTTTTGTAATATCACAGTAAAGTTATGTTTGTCGAAAGTAATAAGCTTATAAATGGATTTATAATAATAATATATACCTAGCTTTAAACCTTAGCTTATATTATAGTTTCACATTTATATTTAACTCTTTATAAACTAGCTGTAATGACCCGTACGACACGGATCGTGGCAATAATATTTCTAAATATTATTACCACGACCCTAATATTTCTAAATATTATTACCACGATCCTAATATTTTCAAACTTGTTCTTAATTTGGTCTCTATACTTTTATTATAGTAAACAACAAAAAATTATTCGATTTAAAGTTTTTGGCTTTTGGTTAATAATTAATTTGTTTTACTTTAGAGCTGTACTTATTTACTTAATATACTACAATATTTTATACATAATAATAGGATCTTTAACATATAAGAGACAGTTGCGTAACATTTCTGCAAGTATTTTCGGAAACTTAGGCTATAATAATATTTTACCCTCTCTTTTAGATTTATTTAAAAAGCAAATTTAGACATTAAAAATGGGCCAAAGAGACTTGTTTATTTAAATAAGTTAGCTTTATCTGTTTGATATATTTTATAAAAGTGTTTCTGTAAAAAAAAAAAATCTTAACAAAATCATTCAATTAAGCTGTTCTTACTGCCGAAGTGAGGCAAATAAGTTATTAAACCATGTTGTTTGTGCCAAAATCGATACTTAATACAAATGGAAACTTGGAGAACAAAAAGTGATTAAAGTAGAAATGGTTTCTATTCACATATAAAAAAATAACAGCAATATAAAAAGCAAAGCAAAAATGATCAATATATCCATTTAAAACAATTATTTCAAAAATAATATAAATAGATATTTACTTGAGAAACACAAAACGTTTTTTTCTTGAGATAAAATAAAAATAAGAGTTTTAATAAAAATTACAAAAAAGAATTATATTCAACATAAAAGTAAAAAAAAAAACTAAAGTTAAATTGAAACACTGTTTCATTGTTATATAGCTTTAGGAAAGCCATAATTAGCTATAATCAAGTCAGCCATAAGAGAAGGAACTCGACTTAAAATTGGAACAAAATTGTTTTAAACACTTATTACACATTAATTACAAATCAACGTGTCATGCAATCAATTAGTTCATTTGAAAACTCAAAAATGCGAATAAGTGGATAAGAAACTTACATTATATTTTTTTTATCACAACAGTTAATTAAATAGCAGAACATAATAAAGCAAACTCTAAATAACTCGCACCTTTAAGGGACAAATAAATTAGTTTATTAAAGAATATTAGAGTTATTGGGAGTGTAATACATAAAAAAAAAATTAACTGGAACTTCAAAATTAGTTCATTTTGTTGATGGTTATTGAATTGTCTTGAGTTTATAGTACATATTTTAGCTACTAACAGCACACACTTATAAACACATGCATAAACATTAAAAAAAAAATCTATAACTTTAAATAATACATAATAACATTATCATATAATGTTATTATGTATTATTATGAATTATATTATAACATTATAATATAATTCTCGCCGCTAAAATCATTCAAAATGTACCTGCAAAATAAAATAAGTCAAAAGAAACTTTCAAACCTTGCGCTTATATCTATTGAACAAGTAAAACTAACAAGGAAGTAAAATAGACGTCTTTTGAACGTTTTGAACGTCTGTTGAACGTTTTGTACGTCTTTTGAACGTTCAAAAGACGTCATTTTTTGGTCCGGTGCCCACCGGTATAACTATTAAAGTTTTTTTAAAAAATTTTTATTAAGAAGTGGACAAAGTAACTAGACAAATAGAGAACATTTTATAACAGTTTATACAAATAATATTCAAGTCGAAAAGGGCACTACCCAATGAAAGGAGGGGGAAGGGAACCTGCAAAGTTAGGGAGCTCATTTGCAAATTTAGGGACCCTCTTGCAAATTAAAGGAGCTTTATTTTTTTTTAATAATACCTTGTAGAAAAATTTTTAAGAAGTTGGGGCCCAATTGACAAGCTTGAGGAGAGGGGAGAGGACTCATATCCACTAGCCATGGCACTGATTTAAGCGATCGTGTTATTATTATTTTTATTATTACCATTTTTATTATTAATATTATTCAACAAAAATTTGTTTAAAGACTTTGTATTTTTTTTTTTTCACAATCCTATAATAAAATATAACAATTTTAATTTAGGGTCTCGTAAAATAGTCCTTAACCTAGCAAACTTTAGCTCCGTCCCTGGATACGCTTGATAATAATATGTGTTGTAAATTTTTCTCTCAAATTGTTAATGCAAGTAATCAACTTGTTACCACTATTAAACTTTATAACTTCTTTGACTGTAGCGTAACACTTTTTTTCTGGTTTCTGCTGCTGCTATTAACTTATTTGAAAGTTAAACGTTTCAATGGCTGCTGAAAAAAATTCAGGAAAAGGGCGAAATGTTCATTATTTGTCCAGAAGTTCACTTTTTTGAGTCGACACATTTTTTTTAGTTATTTTACTTGTTTTTTTTATTTCCTTTATAGTTAGCTTTTTTCAAACAATTAATAAGTAATCACAACAAAAGTGTGCAATGTTCTTATGAAATGACTATTCATCAAGGTTCATCATTTTCTTTCCCTTCTGGATAGCTCTCAATATGCAGCATGATAAATTTTAAAATTTTTTTAGTACTTTTTACCATTTAAAAAATATATATATATATATATATATATATATATATATATATATATATATATATATATATATATATATATATATATATATATATATATATATATATATACAAATTTTGCGAACCTTTTTTTAAATAACTTTCATTTAGTTTATTAAAATTTATCAATAAAAACTTGTTTAAGTAAACAATCATAATTTTCTGAACTCGATATTTAAATTATTTCAAACCTATTGGGAGTTGCGATGAGAAACGTAAGTGTTCTTTTGTAAACAAAAAGAGCTTTTACTTATGTTACAATTCCAGTTTAAAACGTGCTTAACTAAGCCCTTTTATTTTTTAAGCTTCTTAATGGTAAAGCATAAAATTTTTTATGTTGGCACATATATTAACAATAATAGTTTATCAAAGTTTCATGAAAGATCTTTCGAATTTTAGTAAAAAGTAAAATATTTTAACAACGATAAATTGAACATACAAGCACCATTGTTACTTATATTATATATATATATATATATATATATATATATATATATATATATATATATATATATATATATATATATATATATATATATATACATATATATATATATATATATATATATATATATATATATATATATATATATATATATATATATATATATATATATATATATATATATATATATATATATATATATATATATATATATATATATATATATATTAATGTTGATTTTAGGTGCCCCAAGAAGTCCTTACGGTCTTATCACAGAGCACCGCGGAAGAGCATTTAATAGGAAGTTCACGCCTGCTTCCCAACCAATGTCGCAAAACTTGCCCAGAGGCGGGGTTTGAACCACGGATCTTACGTTTCTGAGGCAATTGTGCTACCACTGCGCCACGGTTT